GGAAAGAGATAATATTCTAAATAACAAGGTTAGATGGAATCAAGATGTCAGTAAGAAGCACAATAGGGAAAAACGTCAGTATATTTATAGTTTTTACATGAGAAGATTCTAGAGTATTCTCCAAATATCGACTAATGCTGATCGGATAAGAATTAGCCTATCAGCGTGCATCAAAACGATCATGCATTGAGCACGCTTTAATTCAGTCTATGTCCCATTAACACTCGTACTAAATCATATCAAAATACAAACTCTCTGCCCAATTTAGACAGTTTTAATTTCAGAAAGATAAATTATATCAAAAGTGCAAAATAGCCCGTATGGTACAATCTGTATTATACAGTCAAAGGTCTTTCTGGTACAAAATTACAGGGTAAACAGCAAAAGGAATGGGTTATAAGCAAGTGTTTAGTAATTCAGAATCAATATGAATGTTCCTAACAAGATGGGATCATATACCTATTAGGAAGGATTTGAGTAACCGTTTTCAGTAGACAGTCAAAGGTCGACAATCATCAAATGAATCACACCATAACTTTAAGTTTGGTTGAAAACGACCTTATTGTCAATGGCTCGACAACATACAACAGTAAAATCAAGTAATAAGGGTAAATTTTTGACCAAAGTCAAATAATAAAAGCCAAGACAATGAAAACTGAAGAACATAAGATTTGGTTATAAAGGACCTGAGACAAATTTAAAATGAAAGATATGGAAAAAGAACAAATAAATAACGATACTACTGTTCGATGAAACACTATGAAAGGACTTTCCACGTATTCCTTCCGTTACAATTCTTGTTATTTAAACATAACTTTCTAATTGTTTGTATGTTCTGGTCATATTAGTCATCTATTTAATCATATGTCTTTTACCATTGATCTGAAACAGGAATAAATCGAATTATGTTCCAGTTGACTCGTCTTCTCTGTCCCTCACTCTCCAACTAATCAGGTTTTAGAGTAGTCTTCGTCTGTCTACCTCAAGATTTTACTTACTTCCTTACTTACATCTGTTACTCTTGATGGAGCATAGACCGCCGACCAGCATTCTGTAAACCACTCTGTCCTGGGCCTCCCTTTCCAGTTCCATCCAATTGTTGCTCATTCTTCTCACAACTGTCTCCATTTCTCGGTATAATGTGTTCTTGGATCTATCTCTCCTCCTTTGGCCCTGAGGATTCCATGCGAGAGCTTGCCCTGTGACTCAGTTGGATGCTTTCCTTAATGTGTGTCCTATCCAATTCCAGTGCTTCTCCCTTATTTCTTCCTCCACTGGGATCTGGTTTGTTCTCTCCCATAGAAGGTTGTTACTGATAGTGTCTGGTCAACGAATCCGAAGTATTTTACGTAGACAACTGTTAATAAACATTTGTATCTTCTGGATGATAGCTTTCGCAGTTCCCCAAGATCCCGTTCCATACAGTAGAACTGTTTTGACATTTGTCATGAAAATTCTGACCTTGTTGTTGGCCACTTAGTCATAACTCGAAGCTCCACATTACTAATCTTAAGGCTAAATTAGCTGATCGTGTAAAATACCTTAAACTAGATCGAGACAAGTTCCCTTCTACACATTATTGGGTAGACTAATCAAGAATTAACAATAACAACGAGATGTAATATAATGTGAGATAGAAAATACTGGTGACTAGTAACAGCAATTGTCAATAGTAACTATAAACATACATGTATAACATATGTAAGGTAGTTTTAATACGAAATCGAAGAACATAGAGGTTTTGAGGTAGTAATTATTTGGAGTCCGAAAACTGATAAAATGAATTTAAAGAGCTTACTTAAATCTAAGATCCTTCGAAAAACGATGTAGTAGACATCCATTCATATACAGAAGTTTAAAAGTACAAATATCCGTCTTAGAAAAACAAACTGAAGAAGGTTGTATTGAATAAACAGTAGGAGAAACTATTTGTGAATCTAGGAAATTACACTTCAAATTAAACATTATAAAGGCACTCAAACACAAATACCGCTTCATCAAAGTTCTATATACGATAAAATTACATGAAGATCACTCCATATGTCGTACTGTATAAAACAGTTTACTTGTTTACTTGAATTTTCCCATTGATGTTTAGGACTACAGTTGGTGAGTCTTTTATTGGCATATGTGCGTCCTGTGCGTATTGCCTCAATATTGCATTAATTCACAAGCATTATAAGCAAACATGGATAGTGGCTTGCAGTGGAGTCCAGTTTGACGGGCGTATCATCCTATTTGGTACTCATCACCTGGATGTACCTAAATCTCAGAGTGGATGTTCACTCTGGGACTCGAACACAGTTTTTTTATGTTAGAAAAATCATAAACACTTTATACAGTACACAGTCATTTCAGTTTTGTTTACTTCCAGAGTTGGTATGAAGTAAAATAATCAATAAATATTTGCATTTAATAATTCTATCCAAATATTTTAATGATAGATGACTTAATGTCGTTCTTGGTTTAGTATAATTTGGTATTGCTTACTTTCGGAGTCAGATCTAACTCTAATACGCTATTTCTTAGAAAAATAATAAATCAACTTGCCAGGACAATACTCTCACTGAACGTATATGTTGGGATGGTTCAGAAAATTGCCTGCAAAAGACAAGCAAGCATCAGGATACACTAAGAAGCGTTTCATTCAATCAGCGTTCACTTGAAGTCTTAGCCAAAAATATCAAGGAAGCGAAACGTCACATGCAGAGGTTTTGATTAGCTGATTGTTACACTGCTACTATGTTTAGTAGCATTTCAGAATCTTCGAGCAACCCGAAGACATCTAAAAATATTATAAAAACCCTATATTTTTGTGCTAAAATGAACCTTGGAGTAAACTACTTCTCGCATACTTTGAGTCTTCTCTCTCGTGTTCAGGTCACTGTATAGTTCTAACTTGGGGGTTACAGAATAGTTTAGGAGACGAATATAGCGTTCTAATCCGCAAGACATATCAGTATATAAAAGCGATCTATCAATCCACCTTATGACTTCTCCTTGAGTAAAAAGGATATTTGATTTAGAGGCCATTTAAATCAGACTGACCGGTTTATGTTTTCAATATACCCATCGTTTTTATTCTTAAAAAGGATTCCTTCTTTGTGTATAGAGCTCTGGGATCTATAGTTATTTTTTTTCACAATCGTCCATGATGAATTTGTGTAATGGCTGAATTGATTCTTTTACCTCATTATTTTGGACAAATTATGTCGATAGGTGTGCAGACTTTACTGTTATTGGACATTTGGGGACTTGAATTAACGGCATATGAGATAGTTACACTAACTTAAAATTAGGATCAAACGGTCGATCGAGTTATTTATGCTGATCAATCCAATGAAAGATCGTGTTATCGTATGAAACGAGATCCACATTATGGAGAATCATGCTATGTAAATCAACAGCCAAACATTTTAATTTCGAATTCAGTCACTTTCTATTATCGATCATACCACAATCTCTGCAATTCATATTGTCTAAACCAAGGTTCACTAAGACAAATGAAGTAAGTCAAATATGATATACGAAATAAGTTGTAGTAGCCTGGAGTCCCTCCGGGAGCTACTGTCGGTCCCAAGCCCGGATAAAGGAGGAGGGTTGGGCAGGGGGTTAGCGACCCCATCCCGTAGAAAACTAACTCGCTAAAAAAAACGCTAACCAGAAAAGATTATTCAAACATTTATTTGGATAAGGTAATTCCTGTTTTCGTTTGTGAGATAGTTCTCAATCGCCGCAACATACCTCTAGGTACATCAGACCATTAGACACAATTATAGACACCGATTAGACTAGGTTAATTATGACATAGTGAACAATGATGACTAAAAGAAAAGTAGACAATTTGTAGGGGCTTAGTACGCAAACGACTCGGTGATCCAATAAGCCTATTGAAATCGAAATACTCAAATTGACCAATAAGAAGGACAAACGAATACAAGGTGGAAGATCAGATCAGGGATAAACAATAGAAAGCATAATCATTAATTACAACCAATCAAATTCATTGTGGACAGGATAAGCTATTATTTCTATTTCCAAAAAGATCTCAACAGCTCATTACACCATTATTTGTGTTGCAGATGATGTTGTCTAAGAAAACAATGAAGGTTTTATTACTAAAGCACTTAGCTCATAGAAAATAACACTTTCAAAACAGTATCAATGTATGATGTAGGATGTTAACTATTAAAACTCAAAAACACCAACAGCCCCTTTGAGATTGTTCAACATAAATCTTACCGATAAATGAAGACTAATAAGTACCATTATCCAATGACGACAGTTACGCTTCCGAAATGCTTGATGGTTTTTTACCTAACGATATATATTAATCAACCTTAATGTTCTTATTACTAGTGTTCTAATAGTTGATTTCATGCTCTTATTAAACTAAATAAAAAGTTATGATGAGGAACTGTGTAACTAGTCGAGTGCAGTCATATCGGACATTAGAATGACATTACTAATGAGGAAAAGATAACAGTACAACAATATTAGGAACTGACTGAGGTAAGAAATGAACCTACTAGATCTCAACTTAGTGGTTTAGATGTTACGGGATTACAAACAGGTCTGAGGATTATAGTTTCAACCCCTAGTAGGTTCGCAGATGCTTACCGACGCGGAGGTCCATACTAGGAACTAAACGGCTGTCCAATACTTCCTGGTTTTTAATGGTTATCTGGCTAAATTTAATTTCAATCATTTGAGAATGGGTTTTGTGGAGAGTTTTAGAAATTTCACAGGTTGAAATCATGAGTCGATTGAAGCTAGACCACCATGGAAAACCTGGAAGCACTGGATGGCCGTTTCGTCCTAGTATGCGACTCCTCAGCAGTGCGCATCCACGATTCCGCACACGCGGGGCTCGAACCCAGGACCTACTGGCTTCGCGCGCGAGCGCTTGACCTAAGCACTTAATCTACAACTACTGATTCACTGAACACAAACAAACAAATCTATATAAAAAGACAACCATTTAGTCACTAAACAATAACTAACGACAGGATAATTTTATTTAACATGATAACAACTAAACATTTGAATGATAATAATAACAATGCTTTAATAGAAGAACATAAACACAGCAAAATCGTGAATCTTTATTATTATTCTTTGTGATAGTGATGATAATGATGAGGTTGATGATGATGATGATGATGACAATGAAGTTCCAAGAGAAAAAGAAACCGACCAAAAGCAAATAAAAACGAATAGAATCCCCCTTTTTTTTTACTTTATTATAATAAAAAGAAACGAAAATAAACTGATAAACAAACAAATCGTATTAGAGAAAAAGAAACTCTGATTAACTGACTAACTGAAGAGGACAAGTAAGGAAGTAATTGAGACAAAGAGGGAGAGTGATAATAACAGTATAATTACCACAAAAATTATTTCAATTTATAAAAAAAGAAAGGAGAACGACAAATGCACTGGGATAAGCAAAAGAGGGTTTGATTGGGATCGTGAATGTGTATATCAAAACCTTTTTTTTCTCATACCGACCAAATAACCTGGAACATGTAGAAGACACGTTATTATGATGTTAGAAGTTTTATTTGTGTACATTTGTTAACTATTATCTATTTTCTGTTCATTTAAGATTGTTCCTATTGTTGTATTTCATTAAAATTGGTTAGATTGCAGTAAGTTGATGGATTGCCACTATCTCCATATATATATGCATGTGAAAGCATAATATTGACTTGACGATTATCACACCATAAGAATTGTTATAAGTATCCTGGTCATAGTCACTATGCTCTAGTTCATTTTCATCAATGTGTAATGGACGACATAAATGATTCAAAGATGATCTATTGAAGTGGAGGTGGGAGGGCAAACAAAAGATCAAAACATTCTAAAAAGTGATGCAAATGTACACGAATGAAAATGGGGAGTGTTTGTAGTAGGGATGATGACAGAAAAAAAGGAGGTAGGTAGAACGTAACCATCTAAAAATATTTATTTTACCCCTATTACCACATCGAACACAGTTGAAAACAGTAACAATATGAATGAAGAAGTTATCAAAACAAACTGTTATATTCCAGCTGTGAACAGTTGATATCTTCTTGTCTTATAATACATTTACACGGATAGACAAAGTTCCGATGAAAGTTTGTGGGGACATATTACAATGACTAGGGTATATAGTTGGAATTATATAATAAGTGTAAAATGAAATATTATCGGATGCATAAAATAGCATCTAATTGATCTTTTGTTTTTTTCTTCTTCAATAACCATTTGTACCTTTCGTGTAAACTGATTAGAAAATGAATAGTTCAAAATGATCAGCTGACTTAGTTTCTCTTTATGGATAGAGCAAAACCGGGATAGTTATCATACTACTCATTATTATTATTATTAACCGATTTATTTGTTTATTGATAATGATAAAAATGTCCTTGGTTATATTATGTCGATTAAAGTTTACATTCATATTGATGTGTTTATATTTTCTCTATGAAAGAGAATAACAACCAGATACAAACGTATATATGTATGTATAGTCTATATGTGATTGATGTATCAACTAATATGTATGTTTGTAAGAAAATGTACTTTTTTGATTGCGTTAGATTCGCCTAAATAGTAGAAGAAAAGAGATAAGGGTTTTGAAACCACATACACATATATAATGCAAATATACATTCTTTAAATAGAAACCAAGGTAACAGCAGGGTGTAATGAAGTTTGACATTAAAAAAAACACGACTTCAATGAACCATAAATCAAATCATTATGTTTATATACGTATAAGATCTTGATATAAAAGAGAGGAAAGTCAATTAAAAAGATAATAAATAACATACATGGATACTATTAAAAATCTAGTTAATAAGTAGTATATTGCAAGGAGAATGAGAGAGAGGGGGGGGAAAGAAAAAAGCAAGTTTCGGTACTGTGAATGATTAGAAAAAAATCGAATGAAATCTTGAAAATAAGACGAGAATATATGTGTAGGCACATGAAGCTATGATATTATTATTATTATTATTTTTTGACAAAAATACAAATGCTTTAGAAGATGATGTAGAAAAATTGGTGATATGCACCTTGTGGTACTTTTGGGATCGGAAGAGGAAGGGGTGAAAAGGCATTACACTTAATTACTTAATCACATTCACATATACATTCTTATATTAGAAATTATAGGTGGGATTGTTATGAAAAAACAAACAACGTTTTTATAAAGAGAAGATAAACTGATTGTTTACTCCGTTAGTTTATTGTACACAATAATGAAGCAGGATAACTTCCCAAAAGAGAAGACAGTATGATTGTAATTTATGAAGAGAAGTTAAAAATTTGTGTACTTGTTACACAACTACAAAAGATAATAGAAATGTCAAAAATTTGGCAAGAAATCACCAATATTTACATGAAATTAATAAAGAAATTCACATTGTGACATTGAAAATGAAAACCTATTTATTAATTACCACGTATAATTCGAAGATATTTTTGAAATGTGTCTATGTATGTGTGTATTAGAGAGAGAGAGAGAGGGAGGGAGGGAGAAAGAGCATAGTACTAATCCATCATAATTACTGCAAAGAATTTCCTCATAAATGTGTACAAGTTATTATTATCCATAGGGGGTGAAAATAAAAGTTGATTATCTATTTGGAGTGATGTATATGTGTGTATTTGGACGAAAGTGTACATTGTATTTAAGAGTTTCTTAATAATTAATATAAATACAATTCAAGTGTATAGACAGGGGGATCCAATACCACCTATATTGTAACTCATACTAATCTTACTACTATGATTGTTATTAGTAGTATTAACAAATTTTATCAGCAACTTAGGAGGATCATTCATTTGAAATGTAGTTAAGTAGTACCATTAGTAGTATATAAAAGTATAGATACATCCATACAACATAACTATTACTATCCATATAATAATGATAATAATAATAATAATATAACATTACAAATATTGTCGAATAAACACAATATAAGATGACGACGGCAAAGGAAGGCAGTAAATTCACTTTCAAAAGAAAAGAACGTGAACAGTAGCATACAGTCATCATAATCTATGTACAATATACTATTTATTTCTGAAAGAAAACAAAAAAAGGCAGTTATCACTCGAAGTTAAAGATGACAATAGTAGTCTATCATTAAGCACATGATTGAACAATAATTCACTCTTTTTTCGATTGGACGATCCGGACGATTGATTCACTATTGAATATGGTGGAGAAATCGGGATCAATGTCAATATTAACTCTAAAGATTTAACATGTCTGATGTAGTCAATTCCTCTCTTTCTTCCTCTCTATTCATAGTGAAACTGAAAATTAGATTGTTGTATATTTTGTAGGATGACGTAATAAATTAGGTACAAGACGAACAGATGGCCATTTTCGTGAACTTGAATTCGTTATTGTATTGTTTTTATTATTATTATTATTACTACTATTACTACTACTAGTAGTAGTAGTAACAGTCTCGTCACCACAATCCTCATTATTCTCCACCTCACCATCATCATCATCTGGATCACAGCTTAGAGTGGTAGTAGTAGTGGTAATAGTAGCAGTGGTAGCCACCGTTGTTATTACTGTAATCACTTCATTACTATTGTTTATTAGTGCAATTCCGGTTTTGTTTGTATTGTTAATATCAATGGGAATTGTATCTACAGATGTTTTAATTATATTATCATTCACCGATCCATTATCATTGTTATTACTGTTATTAATAGTAGTTGTAGTCATCGTCGTCGTCGTAGTAGTAGTAGTAGTATAACTTGAATCTTCTGCATTCAGTGTCGACATTGATAATAATGATGTTGATATGGAAGATTTCTCTGGTAATTCTGTTATTCGACTTTGTTCAGTGATTTGTTCCGAGTTAATTATACTATCACTAGAGATGATCTCTGATTCAGAAGCACTACAAGTATAAATAAGAAACTGTTTATCCCTAATGCTAAACAAATAACTGAACATTTAAATGAATTCATAATTGAAATGAAAGAAGTGTTTATTATCTGTTTGATATAAAGTTCAGTGTCTAAAGAAAAACTACTCTATAGGACAGTTATGTTGTCATTTTTATATCAATTAAATTAGGGCCTTACATCAATGACTCGGTCTCATGAGTAAACTATCACTTAGGTACACAGTATCGTTTATTGGCTTTAATGGTACAATTTTACAAGTGAAATGTTTCCATTCGATATGCTATTTATGGGGAAAACAATGAAAATAGTTTCATTCGACAAGTAAAAAAAAACCCATACTTAAATAAGCCATTTCATTGGGATACTGATTTATGGGAATTTCCTTCCTTCTTAAGAAGTTCTCCACACACACACACACGTACACATAATCTCTTTTTCTCGTCCTAACAAGCAAAAAGGTGATGAATATTATTCATTATGATTGTTTTGAAGTTTTAATAATAAAAAAGTCAATAATGTGTATAGTTGAACTGTCATTCTTTTCTAATAATGAATTGACAAGATCAGTAGACAACATAAACTATCATTTGACAATTAGATCAGCTTACTGTAGATATGAGTCGTGTGACAATCTTTATATGAAATTAATCCATTTCTGGATATATTATCTCTTATTATATTAAAACTGTAGAGAATTTGGCAGTAAAGTATGTTTCTTATTGATTGTACGATTGAGCATTCAATTTTTTTCCACTCAGTATAAACTACCATTAACGAGGTTAGTACTATTATCAATAGTGATAATAATGATATTATAACTTGCATTACGAGTTAATCATTAGTGGGGAAATTATTTAAAACTAGGGAAAAGTGAACGACTGCTTCTTCCTAGTATTGGGCTCTTCAATGACTCACCTAAATGATCCTACCGGGATAGTAGACCGCTGTATGACGAACCTAGAGATTATTCGAAAGTCATGTGTTTGTCATGAGACCTAAACGTTTAGAGGTTCAATCCCAAACGAGAGTAATGGATGCGCACTACCAAGGAGTCACCAAGTAGGATGGGACAATTGTCCATTGTTTCTTAATTTTCAATAGCTCTCTAATTAAGATCGACTTGTGATGTAAACTGTGAAAGTTCAACAATCTTAGCAAACTCTCTAAGACAACAGTAATAATCATAATAACAGTAACATTTGAATACGACTGATGTAAGTATTCAAAGGAAACGGAGAAACTCACCTCACCATTTCAATATCTGACTTTAACGAATCTACATTATTGTTGCTGTGGATGTTGTTGTTAATAGCCGACATCTTGTCAAGCTGCCCACCGCCCGTACTAACACTACTACCATCAACTGTAACAACATCAACGCCAGTTGGATAAGAAGTGATAGTAACAGTTGAAAGAGAATCTTTGAGAATCGCATTCATCATATCATTATTATTATTATTATCATTATCATCAGTAGTAGAATCAGTGATGATAGAAGTGTTGTTGTAGTCAGTTGTGAAAACATCGTTTGAAAGTAGACTTGTAGTACATGACATAATATTTGTATACAAAGAGGATGATGACGTTATTGATGATGAGTATGAAGTAATTGTATTATTATTAATATTATTATTATTTGTAGGACTGTTGTCAGTTGATATCATTATTGTTGAATTGCCAGCAGGTGGAATGATGATTCCTCCTTCAGATTCTTCTATTTTCATAAAATTAGCTTGATTCAAAGGTAAATTACGACTCTGAAAAGTTTCTTGATTTAAACCAGGTAATAATAAAGCTGATAATAGAGGAGATGACTGAGATGGAGTTGTACTAGAGGCACCAATTGTATGAAATATTGATGATGATGTACTTAATTCAGCGGAGATATTTGATTTTGGTGAATTGGACGGATTATTCGATTCACCTCCTATAGTGAATGATTGATGCGAGATAATTGGATGTGTTGGTGATGATAATGGAGTTGTTAATTGAGTATCCATAGGAATTGAGGCATCGACTATTCCTGATATTAATGCTGTTGTGACTTTTGGTGAAACAGTTTCATTAGCTACGCTATCAGTACGAGTCGATTTTGTGGAACCCTGAAAAGTATCGATGCATCAGATTACTTTTTAAAAAAAGTAAATAAATATTGCTATTCCGTGGATTCAACACAATGTAGAATGAACAAATAGTATATTAGTAATATCCCAATGAATAGAAAAATCAGATTTTCTGACGTTTCGTGACTTAGTGTAAGTCACTTCTTCAGAGAATAAATGACCAAATTAAAATTAATCCAATAAGGTTAACCGATAGTAATAAACTTAACAACATCGTATTTACACATTTTTTAATGGCGAAACAAACAGTATCAGAGTTAGAACTAGTTTTTCTAATTCTCATTATTGATCATTTTGTTGCATAATTACTAAGTAGGTAGATTACTATGTCTAAGTATTGCTTTCATCATAAGCTTTTGTTTGACCCACTAACTACTGTTGTACCACTTACCATTCTTAAATTGTTCCCAGTCTATTACTAACAGTCTCCACAATTCACAACCATATTTGGCTTATCTATGTACAATTTTGACATTTTTTGATTTTATGGTGCGATGTAGAGGTATGATATGTCTTTATATAAATCATGTCTTTTAGAAATATAAATATAGCAGAGACTGGTTGCTTTTCCTTTTGAACTCGAAGCAGGGCGTAGAGAGGAGCTAGCGAATAGTAAACCAACAAGAACTTGGTTCTCGAATCGAGGTCAATAGTGCTGGTTAGATGTGTAATTAGCCAAGTCAGAAACACCAAACTCGAGAATAAATAGCAGACGTGAAATCGACCAAATTTGAATTAGGATTCTGATTAGTGATTTGACACATAATTTTGGTCAGCAGGGCTTCAAGACATAACAGAGTATTAATCATATATTGAGTTCACAATATATCATGAATGCTCAATAGTATATATACGCTCAGGGAGAGGGGCGTAATATAACCATTGACTTCTTTTATGGAAGGGGATTTTTGTTGTTACAGATCCGAATAACCAAATAGCCCATGCTCAACATTAGTTACTATTTTATTTAGAAACTAATTTATTCGAACAGGAAATCGAAACACATCACTTAATCTGTATGGTTATATTACAACATCAGCTGACAGTTCTCCTGAATAAATTATTTAAGCATCTGACAAAATTGAAGCAATATTGAGGAACTATCTTGTAACGTGTTTATTGTTAAATAATGATCATTATGTTAGTATATGTGACTAATTTATGTATTTAATTACCAAGGTTCTATTAAATATTTATAACCAGTAGAATTAGTCTGTGTCGGATGTGAGGTAGTTACCTACTGAAGACAATGAAAGATGGTTGCGCAATATCTGGAATTGATTGAAGTTCAACACTCAAATTCAGTGGTCTAAAAGTCAAGTCCTCACTTCAAGACCTAGGATCCTGCATTCGATCCCCGATAAATACGTGGATCCTCACTCTTGAGCAATGACATAATATAACGAAACAACTATCCAAGTTTGCAACGGATATATAACTTCGGTTTGGTTCGTGACGTCAATAATACACATCTTTATTCTAAACATTTCAATAGACTAGTATTTACCTACTCATAAGTAGTTAATGTAAAACATAATCTAAAGAGGATGATAAAATACAGGATAAATTAAAAAATAAATATTAGCTTACTTGATGTTTACCTCCAGTGCTATTGGGATACCAACGTCTGTCACAGAAGAGGAAATCCGAAGAAAAAAAACAGTAGGAAATTAATTTATGAAACTTAGATAGAGAGACTACACAGGGGTACAAGCAAAGATGATGTTCAATTTTTTTTCAAGAGAGCAAACATAAAACTTGAACACCTTTAAACGCCTATACATAAATAATCGAGTACTGTATGTTGATATATAAATTGAAATACAAGTTAGAAAAAGGGATAATTTAAAATATATCCCTATGGTTTATGTTAATGAACATGGTCAGTTAGTGAAATATTCAATACTGAATACAGAAAACAGTGAATCTAGGCTTAAAGACAATACAGCCTCGAGGTCACGGGACTTAGATCTAAATAGAACATTGTCTACAGATGTGAAAACAGATCTTCCTAATATGTTATTATTGTTTGTTAATTGTATCATGAATATCATCATTATATACTTTAGAAATTCGGTTTCAGAGCTCATATCATAGTTTGGAATCAAGATGTTGTATTGATTGAATCAGAGTTTGTATCGTGGTCTAAAGTTAGTAGTCAGTCTTGTGATATAAAGTTGAGAACATAAGATCTGTGGTTAGAATTTAGGATTGAGATAGAATTTTACCGTCAGTCTATATTATATCTTAATAGGGTTTCTCTAATACGATGGGGTTCCTATTGCATAAATCAATAACACCAACTAGCACACAAAACTTGATCGCTAACACAAGAAGACAGAAAACTTCAAAAATCAATTCAGAGCAAAAACAAAAACAAAACGAAAAGGGTATAAGTAACGAAACCATGACTTTCAAATATACACACATTTTAGCGAAACTAAAAGCGATAGTAATGAATTAACTGAAGACAAAGCTCATGAATAAAAAGTTGAATTAGAAAGAAAAAAAAAAGACACTTGTGATTAATATTTCTAATAAGATCTCAGCATTGTTAACAAATTTAAAGGAATCATTTAACCACTTACTTTAACAATACTGGAAACTATAGTTCTAATGGTAAATTTCCAACCGAATATATTTATTCTAATGCCAAATTTCGAATTCCATATCCAAATAATAAACCTGATCCTAAATTATAAACTCTACAGTTTATCTATTTTCATATTGTATGTATGAATCTTCTGATTGATGTTTAGGACTACAATGATCGGCCTGTTGTTGACATATGTGCACACTATGTTGATTGTCTCGATATTGCCATAAGTCACAAGCATTATAAACAAAGATGAATAGTGGCTAGAAGTGAAATCCAGGACGTATGTTTCATCCTATTTAGGATTCATCAGCTGGATATACCTGTTAGCCATTATCCATCTCTACATTTTAAACCTCAAATTTTACTCTCATATCATTAGATTAAGTTCTATATTCCACGGCCTAAATTCTATTATTAACTTTATCAATTATTCATTGATACTTATTATTTTCTGATTGACTGAATAAGATTTCAAGTCATTTGAAGAGTTATTCATACTCATCTAATATAAGTTAGTTTTATACTTTAAAGAAACTTAATAGGGGAAATTGACCAAGTTCCAATGATTGACAAATACAAGAAAACTGATGTATTTACGAATTAATATGTATTTGTGAAAGTGAGTACATAGGAAAAACTATTAAAAAAAAAGAGAGAATCTATAAGGTTTTCGGAACGTATTCAGCATAAACAGTATCTGAAAAATAGTAAAGTATTCATGAGTGTAATCACTAGACATTTAATGGATAATGGACACATTGTAGATGTCTCATTACCATTCAAAATAATTAACATACAATGTAAACCATTTTTTTTTACTCTGTTTTCTAAAGACATTTGTATACAAAAACGAAGTAAACTTTTTGTTGCTATGGTCAAATGATCTTTACATTTTGGTTGATAAGTTAAAGTTAGAAAAATAGTCTCAGTGATATTCTACTCTAGAAGTTAATTTTAATGTTATATTAAATAGGTATCTTGATTATCACTCTAATTGGTTAATAATTTCTCTTTATTTATTTTCTCTTTATTATTATTTATAACAGAAGGGTTTTTGTGGATATTACAGTAATTTCAATGGTTGAGATCATGAGTCAACCGGATCTGTTGTGAGATAGTAACTCACTGATGACAATGGTGGAGGTGTCGCTCAATTTCGTGGATTTGTTGAAGTTAAACATTGACACCATTGGATGCCAGCCATTTCAATGGTGTAGAGGTTACGTGCTCGCTAGCGAGAATGATAGATCCTGGGTTCGAATCCCGTGAGGTGGGGTCGTGGATGCACACCGCCGAGGAGTCCCACAATAGGACGAAACAGCTTCCAGGTTTTCCACAGTGGTCTAGCTTCAATTGAATCATGATCTCAGTCATTGAAATTACTATTTATAACTTCAATCGCTCGTCTAGTCTATGAAATATTAATCAACCTTAACTATTATGTTAAGCTTATTGTTTCCCCTCCTTGTTATTTTAGGTCGTTTCGAACTAAATTTCATTGATTATGGTATAACATTTTTTTAAATAATAATATTTCTATCGTAAATTTAGACCGTTTGGAGATGATGAGAAGCCTTCAAATAAATAGATTTGTCGAATCTGCTTAGACACATTTTTTTTGATAAATCTGTTACTGGATAGCTTCTTATTGCTCTTTATAACCGTTTCCTACAACTCTAAACTATACCAACACTTCAACTTGAATAATTGAGAAAAAGTCCAATGTATAATAATAGTTTTATCCTAAAGTTAGCTACTTAGAGAAAATCAAGAGTATTCATGGAGTTTCGTATAATTCTAACTCCCCAGAAATTTCTAGAGACGTACTAAATGTAGTAACGATCGAAAACTTTCATTTTTTTCTTAAGAGCTTCTATTCAATTCTGATTGGATAAAACGTTTTCAGACATTTTCTGGGTCTTTAAAGTCTTTCACGACGAGTAATTTTTGGACTCATCAGGTTTTTTTTTTAATTTGATAATTAATAAGGTAACTCGAAAATTGAAAACACACACACACACACAGAGTAAAATCAATAGTGTAGCTTATATCTACCTTATGTACCAACATCATTAGAACACTTTTTTGTAATGTTGAAGTGCCATTTGAAAATTGAATCAAAACCATATTTCCTAATTAGAGATCTATACAATTATAATAAATTTCTTGAAAATAATAGAAACTTGGAGAAGAAAATTCATTCATTTCAATATTTGTTGGGTAGAGTTGCTGAAATGGTTCCCACTTGAGTTTTTTAGTCATTTTACATAACAATAGAGTGGAATCATTCCTTTTTTTTCTTGATAAGCTCACGAATAAGTGAAACGATCGTTAAGTAAGAATTGGTTGTAATCAGAGAAGGGTTTCGTGGATATTGTAGTAATTTAATAGTTGAATACATGAGTCCTGGGTTCGAATCTCGCGAGGCGAGATCGTGCGTCAGTCAGCTACAACGTAAAAACCAGTCATATATATGCATCGTTCCAAATTGTCATACCTCATTAACACAACAAGATGGATACCGGATTCATAAAAGTAGTTAATTCAGAGGTGGTAATATATAAAAGAAAGATTGCAATAAGGATATAGTACAGGAAGAAAGAATTAGTTTGTAGAAAGGAAGATATGAAGCGATTTTAATCTCTTAGTTTAAGAGAAGACAGAGAATGTATACACCGACGCTATTGTGATCGATTCTGAGTCATGTCACACACAGTCTCCAATGATTGGTTACGATAGTCACGCGTACCCCAACCACTGCTGAGGAGTCCCTTACTAGGACGAAACGGTCTTTCAGTGCTTCCAGGTTCTCTATGGTGGTCTATCTACAATTGACTGATGACTTCAATAATTTGTTGATTAAAACATTAAAAATTCAGTTAATTTTCTTTAAAACACTTGAATAGTTTAACAAAATTTAGTAATTTTGACGATTTAAACAACAGACAACCAATTCGAGCTACATATTGAAATTTATGTGTGATATAATTATTAATCTGAAATAACTCTGGTACTTCTTCGCACTAATAGGACAGTAGATTGCTTAAGACGCACAATGAACGACTTATCTTCGTATACTATTCACTTGCTCTATACTAGATGCCCAACTAGCACTATTCTACGACACTTCAACACAATTCAAATCATGAACATGTGACTCGTCTCACTAGTATGTGTTTTATTCAACAGCCGACAATCAAGTAAATACAAGGGTTGATGAAATATATGTATAAGACACATAAAATATCTGTCACGGTATGCACAAGTCTATCTAAGATTACAATCAATCCATATTTCCTCTCGTCCACACAACATAATCATTACTAAACTTGAAATCTAATACGAACATCACATTGATTCAAGTGATCATCACACTTCAGTCAGGTAAAAAATATCAAGGACTCAGTCATATATATATATATATATATATATATATATATATATATATATATATATATATATATATATATATATATATATATATATATATATATATATATATATATATATATATATAAGTTTAGGTGAAAATACCACATCAGCACACCGAGATGAAATCAACAACAGAAATCCCAGAATAGTAGAAATAGTAAAATTAACTGTGTCAGTAAAAAAGAGGCACAGACAATGATTAAAGAAGAAATAATCGCATTGAAATCCTCAACCGATCTAAGTTGAACAACTATTTTAAACCTAGAAGCACTGAACGGCCGTTTTATCTTGGTTTGAAACTCTTCGGCAATGCACATCCACGACCCTGCAAGCGTAAATCAAACCAATAATCATCAGTCTTCCACGAGAACAGTTTGATTCACGCATGAGGAGTAGTGGATTTGCACGTCTACTGAGTTCTATATAGAGCCAAACGGCGTCTGGTGCTTTCAGGTTTTCAATAGTTGTCTAAGTTGAATAAATTCAGGATTTCAATTATATCCACCAATTTCCACAACCCTATATTTACAAGAAATAAGTAATTCGTGAAAAGAAAAGTATGTGGAAATTTATAAACTCAAAATCCAATGGAATAC